TTATTTCAGATTTTTAAAAAATGGGTCTAAAATGTGGCTTTTTGCTAAGACTTTATAAGGAAAAATTAACACAACTGTTCTACAGGATGATTCTCCCTCACTTTCTTGTGTGTTATCCTATAATGAGAAGTCCCTGGAAAAAAAATAGATTTTCAGAAGCCATTTTGTAATCTGTTACATTTTTTCTTTTGTCTCTTGTGTAAAAAGTTATCAAACCAGAAGAAAAAAAATTGTAGACTGGAATGAATTACTAGCCTGGAAGACCAGAAAAATTTGCAATTAGAACAGATGTTAGACATTTATCAAGTGCTTGGGGGAAAAAAACAACAACATCAAGGTAACAAAATTTGTGTTTGACAGTTACTTGGTTTGTGTAAAACTAAAAGTGACTAAGGGACATTTGGTCTAGCAAGGCAGTTTAGAAAGGACCGTAACAGGAGACTAATAAGGACAAAGTCAAGTAATTTAAATTGAAAAGAATTTCAGCTTCTCCGATGTTCCTTGACCTAGATGAAGTGCATAGGGAAAATTCTGCATCATTGCAGAGGCTCAGTCAAAATCTGTTCAGGCAAAGTGCGCACACATGTATTTGAAAAATGGGCTTTTTAATATGTTTGTCATTACAATGCTGCCTTCTGGAATAGGCTAGTAGTGCCATGGTCTTAGTACTTAGGCCTGATCTTGACAAGTTGGTGTGATCAAGTTGCTCTATTTAATGAATTCAGGTTGTCAGCACATGCAGTCTCGTTAGTTAATCTCTAGTAGCTTTTATCTATGAGGTACTGGGAGTACAATCCAGTTTATCCACCTTCTCTGAGAGATAAAGTTTTGCAACAGATTCAGAAAGTCCTTTTGAAAGTAGTCATTAAATTCTGCCTTAACACGTTTGCACTCTAATGAATCGAATTCCTAAGCAAAAATAAAGGACATACGCATTTCTGAATCTTTTTTTTAAAATTAATGTTAGAATAAAGGAGAGTAGCGGGGTAGAATTAGTTTAAGTTCAGAGTTTGTGCTGTACTTTCTAAGGTAAGACACAGTGCAGAGGCAGTAAAATGACCTCTGGAGTCACCAACAGTGTCCTCATTCTTTGTCATGAATCAGAAACAAAGTTGTGGTCCAGTCAAAATCCACCAAGGATAAAGTTTCTCAAGACCAATTACCTCCTTGTATGGGAATCTACAGAATTACGCAAACAAGAAATTACTAAGATGCAGTTCATGTACAGAGAATATGTTTGTACTTGTTGCTGCTTAATTAGTTCACTTCTTCTAAGCTTTCTAGTAGAATTGACAGATTTGAGGAAAAGCAGATAACTTGGACCTTCTGTCCTTCCTTAAACCACACTTGTACGTGGTATGTGTTTGCCTGGGAACCTGTCGAATTTGTGGTATTTCTGTGAAGACCTAAGGGCGTGTCTTCATGAAACTTTTTACGCAGATAGGTTTTTAGATAGGTTCCATTTTTTTTTTTTCACTGTAGAACACACTGACATATCTTGTTTAACTTAATCTATATTGTTTCCCTTGTATTTCTTGGACAGCTTCACTAGGTCTATGTGTTCCAACAATAAGGTAAGTTGCTTTTGGAATATTGCAGTTGTTGCATTACGTGTTAATACTCAGGTTACATTATCTGTTGATATTGTTTTGCAATACATACAGGGCATAGTGTTGTATTTAAAATATTGCTAAACAGAATAATAATAGTATAGAGTTATTTGGGTGCACAATGAGGATGGAAATCCACTCTGCAGTACAAACTGACTCTTTGGTGAAAGTTTCCCTCCACACAAGAGGGACAGAATCACAAAGAACAGCAATAATGGGAGTCTGTGTCCTGTTTGAGGCACTTCTCCCGAAAGCTCGTGGACCTGATTGTGCAAAGTCACTTTGTGTAATTGTCCCCTGGTTTTGTAAAACCTAAGCTGCTCCTGGCTGCTTTAGTGTCAGGAGATAGCTGGTGACCTGTGTACATCTTAATTTTAAACTAAGGTTTGAGTCTTTTGCATGTAGGGGGGGTGTCACAGGTGAGTTGAGTCATCAGTGTGGGGTTAACTAAAAAGGTTTTATTAACAATGAAATGATGATCAAAGGATAATTAATTGACAACTGAATAAAAATCTGATGATGATGATGATAGAATTGTTATTAAGCAATAATTGAATGGTAGTTAAACTGATTTGACAGTATTTTAAATGATTGTATAAACAATAATTCAGACTCTAGTCAAACGCTCTACTACTTGCTACACTTCTGATAATTAAGCTATAGCTGGCTATGTAAAAAACTGGCACTAGTATACAATATACTTTTAGGTTTAATGTAAAATGTCACTACCACATTATAGCTATCAGATGTTTGGTAAAGGGATCTTTCAGCCTTGAGAATGAACCTTAAGAGGCATCCCTGCTCAAGGGTGAAGTCATTGCCAAGCAGCCCACTGCCATATGGGAGAGCTCAGTGGGCTCATGAGGCTGCAGATATTTAAAGTGATTGACTTGTAGTCAAACCCCCTTTTGCTGTATGTGCACGTGTGCAGCTATAGCAGTTTCAGATCTGACTAGTTCCAGCTCAGACTGGTACTGTGGGCTTCTAAAAAGACATGGCCTAAACTCCTTTGTTCCTGGGTAAGATACAGCGTAGGATGATTCTCTGGGTTTGCACTGCAGGGATGATTTCAGTCAGGCCTGCTTTTTGGTACCTAAGTAGCAAAGTACTGTTCACTCAGTGAGTGCATTCATCATAGGCATCTTATATTAGAAAAAAAAAGGGGACTACCAATGGGATCAGCCTTGTATAAAAGAATTGTGGCCTCTTAGGTTGCTGGTATTGGCATCTAATGTCTGAGCACAGGGACGCTGGAACACTGCACTGGAAAAATGTTTTTCTCAAACTTGCCTTAGGCTGAGTAGCCCATGTTCTTTACATCCCCAGTCTCTCAGAGAAGATAATGGTGTTTTCCCCGCAGAGGGGTAAAGGTAAGGGGTCTGTTAGCTACCTGATGAAGGGACGTCTTCCCAAAAGGAAATGGCTCATCCAGCTGTGTGGTAGAAACTCTTGGGAAGCATGTAATGTTTCAACTGCCCTGTCCTTATTTAGGTAATGGATGGTATGCTGATTCCTGGCACAGGTGTAAGCACTAAGAGCTCTTGCAGCTCAAGCAAGAGGCAGCTGGAGAGTTGAGGTCGAAGAACTAGGAACTGCAAATATGAAGAACAAGTTATGAAGTTAGTTTTTCTCTTCAGAAAAGAGAGAACAAAAGATACGGAGTAACAATCAAAACCAAAGAGCCCAGGAGTAGCATGATACAAAGCTAAAGAAAATATTTCTTCCTATCTTTAGTTATGTTTTTTTTCTGAAGTACAGGTGAAGCTAAGAAAAGGGGAGGGATTGTTAACAGGCAAAACCTTGAAGCTATCTGGAAACCCATGAGAATGGGGAAAAAAACCAAAAGGAGAGGAACAGACACAGGTATCATCCCAAGTGACCTTATGAATTATGACATATCCAACCTCATTTAATTTTCTGAGATCCTTCCTACCTTGTGAAACCTCTTCTACATAAGAGGTTAAGCGAAGGCTATAGGGTTACTGACATTTTCCCAAACTGTACTTAATAGCCTTGTCGTTGTGTGCCCTGACTAACTGCTGTGAGCCGTGGCTCCCCTGTCCTTTGGCTTTGTTACCTGTGTCTAGTGCTGTTGTGGTAGGACTTCTCATTCCATCCTCAGCCACCAAAGGGTGTGACAAACCCAAGATGGCTGTTTGTAGTGGTGTGCTTTGGCTGCAGGCCCTGAGCAGTCTCTCGGCATGATAGTGGAAGAGGAGTGAGGACTTGCAGACAGGGAAAAGGAGTAAACAAAATAGAATCATAGAATTGTTTAGTTTGGAAGAGACTCTAAAATCGAGTCCAACAGCAAACCCAGCACTGCCACATCCACCACTAAACCATGTCCCCAAGTGCCAGATCTGCATGTCTTTTAAATACCTCCAGGGATAGTGACTCAACCACTTCCCTGGACAGCCTGTTCCAATGCTGGGCAACCCTTCCAGTGAAAAAATTTTTCCTAATATCCAATATAAACCTCCCCTGGTGCAACTTGAGACTGTTTTCTCTTTTCCTGTAGCTTGTTACTTGGGAGATGACCAAGATGACCAACCCGCACCTTGCTACAATCTTCTTTCAGGTAGTTGCAGAGAGTGATGGAGTCCCCCCCGCAGTCTCCTTTTCTCCAGGCTAAACCACCCCTGTTTGAAAATGCACCAGGCTCAACTGGTCCACATGGAATAAGAAATAAGAAATTATCATCTTGAAAAAGTGTTACTTTAGAGATACCAGACTTTATGTAAGTAGAAGAGGCTGCAGTTAGAAAAATGCAGAATCAGAATGTGAAGTTAAATATTGCTTCCTCTTTGTAATTAAATGCTTATGTTAAATGTTTGGGAAAGGGAATCACCGAATGGGCCGGGTTGAAAAGGACCACAGTGGGTCATCTGTGCAACCTCCCTACTCAAGCAGGGCCATCCCAGAGCACATTGCATAGGATTGAGTCCAGACAGTTCTTGAATATCTCCAGTGAGGAGGCTCTACAACCTCTCTGGACAACCTGTTCCGGTGCATGGTCACCTGCACAGTAAAGAAGTTCTTCCTCATGTTCAGGTGGAACTTTCTGTACGTGAATTTCTGCTCCTTGCCTCTTGTCCTATTGCTGGGCACCACCGAGAAGAGCCTGGCTCCATCCTCCTGGCACCCTCCCTCCAGATACTGATAGACACTGATGCGGTCCCCGCCCAGCCGCCTCTTCTCGAAGCGAAGCTGGTGGTGGAGGGAAAAGGCGTTATTGTAGTTTCAGAGGAAGGAAGAACAATGCATTTCCCGGATCCCTAATCCTATATTTTTCTCAAAAGCCACGGAAATCACCCCAAGCGGCCCCTCCGCCTCCCTCGCGCCCGCCCATCCCGGGCCCCGGCGGGGGGCGGGGCCAGCGGCGGCACGTGACGGGGGCGGGCGCCATGGCGGGCGCGGGGGCGGTGGGCGGCAGCCGGGACCTGGCCGGGGCCGCGGGGCCGCAGGGCCGGGCGGCGGAGCAGACCCCGAGAGCCGCCGCGATGTCTTCCGTCGCCTCCTACGAGAGCCTGGTGCACGCCGTGTCCGGGGCCGTGGTGGGCGGGCGGGCCGGCGCCGGGCGGGGAGGGGGCCGTGCCGGCCTGGCGGGGGGCGCGGGCCGCCCTCAGCCTTTGTTGGGCTGCGGCGGGACGGGGAACCGGGCGCGGGGTTCGGGGCAGCTCGGGGCCAGCGCTGGGCCCAAGCAGCCGTAGCCTCTGCTGAGCCCGGCAGGAGCTGCAGGGGTGCCCCTCAGAAAGCCGGCGAGGCGCGTCGGGAGCTGAGCATCACTGCGGTGGTGAGAATCGAAGCCTCTCAGAAGCTCAGGCAGAGGGGCAGCACCTCAGCTGTGCGGTCCGAGAGCTGCACCGGGCATCGTCGTCCTGCCACGGCCTCACAAACGCTTAAGAGTTGCGAAGGGTGAGGCAGCGCATAGATGTTAATCAAAACGTAAGGCGAGTGCAGTGCAGCCCGAGGAGATTTGTATCAGTTACTGAATTAAATTTTTTTCCCATGACGCTTGTAAATTAGAAAGTAGTGTTTAACTTTGGTAGATTTCCTAGTATGCCCAGCCCTTGGATTTTTCTTTTCAGAATATCTTAATATCTTAACAGCAAATCCGCCTTCTACTTGCAACAGATTAGGGATTTTGGTGCATGTAGCATGTTGGGTTGGGCATACTGATGGATAGAAAGAACTCTCCATGTCTTCTGTAGGGTGAAAGTCACTAAATGTTATTGAACGATAAACACTGAAACAGGCTGCCCGGGGGGTCATGGAGTCTCCCTCTCTGGAGACATTCAAACCCTGCCTGGATGCATAACCTGCTCTAGGTGACTCTGCCTTGGCAGGAGGGTTGGACTAGATGATCTCCAGAGGCCCCTTCCAGTCCTAACTATCCTGTGATTCTGTGATAAAGGCTGATTCTAAAAGGAAAAAAAGACTAAAGGATGTTTTGCTTTTATTATAAATAAACACAAGATTTTTGTCTGCTCCTTCAATTGTTTTAAGTCAGCTTGTTTAAGCATCAAAGGCAATGGGGATTTTGTTTCTGCTTTCAAAAAATGAAACACTCTCAGATTATCTCATTATCGAAATACTACTCACTCTCCTTTTGCTGGCTTCTACAGAAGTCAGTAGTGCTCTTTAGCTCTCGCTGTTAGCTTCTCACCCTTGAAAACACATTGGTGTAATCAGGCTGTGCCCCTGTACAAAGTTTGTGGTGTGAACCGAAGTCATAAATCCAGCCATAAACACAGAGCTGTGTTGAGGTATTGAGTCAGAAGCACATGTCAGATCACAACATGATAAATTTTGTTTGTCTTCTAATATACTGAAAGTTTGCATACCTTCTAGGCTACCTAGTCGAACTTGAGACAAAGGAATAGTTTTGTGAGCAGTAAAAAAAAAATCAGTGCTTGATTTCCTGTAAACTTTAATCGAATTACATAAGTATTCTTTACTCTGCATGTAGCTAAAATGTAACCTTGTTGCAAAAGCTATAAGGGATGTGAATTTTATAGGAGCGTTTTAGCAGTAGTCAGGCTGCTTTGTTTGACTCTCAATGTTGTCTGAAACATAGTATTTAGTCTTTGTATATGTTTTAATTTTTTGTTATTACTGTTTTTTAGAAAGCCGAATGCCAGGCTTTGGTCCTGTACAGCTCTTCTTGGCAGCAGTCACCTCGGGCCATTTGTTCTGGCCACCTCTTGGCTACTGCACAGTTGTTTGTCTGGTACTGTGATTGATCATTGAACTGATCTGACTGAAGATGTAGCCCAGCGGAAAAAATTGTTTTTCAGCCAGATTAGTTTCTTTGTCTGCACCATCGTGTAGGTGTCTGAAAAGTTATGCTGCCAGACTGGAGGAGGCAGGGGTGCAAATACAGTTGACCAAGAGCCTGAGATTACATAAACCAGTCTGTACCTGTCCTAGTGATTATTCAGCAGTAAAATGACTTGACTTGGCAAACTACCAAGATTCAGGGCTGACAGGAAGGTGGTGGGAAGGCTGACAGCAAAGCCTCATCCTTCCAACAGTGCAGGGTCATACATGTCAGCATCTGTTCCTCCAACCAGTACTATGACTTACTTTCCCTGCTGGTCTCAAGTGTGATTCAGCAAGGAATCTGACTCTATCTTGAGGGCTTTTGTTGCTGGGGAAAGGACTGGTCCAGCTCATCCGTCTCGTTTTCCTTCCTTCTAGCTGTGAAATCCTGTGTTCTTCATATGATGCTTCTGGCAGCCTTCTCATCATCTAGTTGCCTTGTTCTATTTGTAAACCCAGGAGAAAAGTAACTTGGCTTTTCTGAGTTTATTTCCCTCAAATTAGCAAAAGGAGGGAAGAGGGTACGAATTGTCTTTTATTTGCAGTGGTCTATTAGGTCAGCTTAGTTATCTCTTGACATTCTCTTCAACTACAACTTCCTATAAGTTTTAAGCCAGTTTGACAGTCAAACACTGGAACAGGCTTCCTAGAGAAGTGGTTGATGGCCCAAGCCTGTCAGTGTTTAAGACATTTGGAAAATGTACTTAAACAATGTGCTTTAGCTTTTGATCAGCCCTGAGGCGGTCAGGCAGCTGGACTAGATGATCATTGTAGATCTCTTCCTGTAGTCTGTTTTGTGCCTTGCATCCACCTGTTTGTCCTGTGTGACACTAGCCCAGCTATTTCCCCATTTCCATTTTCTAATTTTGAGTGCAAGTGTGTGTGTGTATGTTGCTGCTGTATGGTGGATTGCATTGAGAGTAGGATTCAGGATGGATCTCACTTTGGGAGGATGGAAGCAGGATAAATTGAGCAGGGGAAGGCTGGAAGTTGTAGTGACTGTACAGTCTTATTCTGTGTGTAGGTGTGTGTAACTGCGTTTTGAGGTTGGCTTCAAAATTGCGGTAGTGCAGCCATCATTAGGAGGTGTGTTTTGGCTCTTTCTGGCACTTTTTCGTGCTGGCACTAACCTAACTGAAATATATTTTTATAAATTTTCAGTCAGGTGGGTTCATTAATCCTACTTGCTGTCCAGCGGGGTACATGGTAGGTACTGAGAATGAGCAGACACAGGACAAGTGTGTGGGAGAGCAGAACCAACCGTTTTGGCAAGAGCCCAAACGGAATGGGTTAAAATAACCAGGTAATTGTGGCCAAGTGTTTCCCTTCGTCTGCTGCCTGGTGTTATGAAAATTGGGAAAACCTAAATCTGGTTAAGACTTCAACCAAGAGTTGCCCTAGTGAGGAAACACCACCTGAAAAATAATCCTCTGTTGCTGGTAGTAGAGATAAATCCAAGCAGCTTGCTTGGGAGCAGGAGTGTTTCCAGAGGCGAAGCTCACTTATAGCGTAACACAGCTCTAGAAGAGCTTTAAACACAGCACTTGTGTGACTTGCTGTATCCCAGACCTTCCCACCATTTGAACAGTTTGCATGACTGCTAATGGAAGAGTGCCACAGTTTTAGCAATCACTTGATGCATGGAAAACAGGTTTACACCAAGCCAGGGCCTTTTTTTTTTTATTTTGTTAGATCTCTTTTCCAAAAGCTGTGCAATATTATTGCTGGAGTATTAAAAACTGAAGAAGGTGAGTGATGGCAGGGAGAGAAAGGGAACAGCTGCTTGTATGGAAGATACGGGTATTTGCAAATACAGTATTTAACCTTTTGTAAAGGATGGTGTCTTATAGCTTCTCCATTTAGAGGCTTTAATGGTTGGATCACATAGGAAGTGAAGAGGGCATTGGATTCACAAGACATGAATCTGGTGACATCTAGGTCATGATTTATTGAATTCATTATACGTAATTCATGCCACTGAGTGTCTTGGTAGCTGATCTTTATTGCCTAAACTGGAATTTAATGTAAAGCTAGATTAAGTCTTGAAAAACATGTATCATCAGTTTTTTAATGAACAGAAATTTCAGTTTGGTCATTGTTTTCTTATTCAAAACAAGGTTATTGTAACACAATGTTGTTTGTGTCAGTCTTTTTTTGTTTTTTTTTAAACTAGAATTTGGGTATTGAGACTAATGAGAGGTAGAAAAAGTGCAGTGTATTTGTCTGCTGATGCTCACTTTATCAGCTCTTGGACTTCAAAAACGTCCTCCTTGGGCAAAAAGCTTTTAATGGTTTTAATTATGGCTTGATCTAATGCAAGAGAAAAAAACCCCTGATTTGTAAGTATGGGACCAAAACCCACTTCATATAGACATTGTTCTGCTTGGAGTTTATCCCCTTTTTAAACTTGCTCAGCAGACTGGTTTCTGGGTGAGAAGCGAAGGGCTACAAAGAGTGTAGCAGGCACTGTACAAGCAACTGATACACCATATAGCCAGTTTATTTTGTTTTTCAGGGCAGTATGACTGCAATGACTGTATTTTTTCCTTTGGATACAGCTAGGCTTAGACTTCAGGGTAAGTGTCAAACTCTAGTTTCTTTGTACAATGGCGTTTCTGTTCGTCTTGACTTGGGCACTTGTAAGGGTGGTTCTAGGGGGATATTTTACGTGAACAGAAATCTTACCTGTCTAACACTAACACCATTTTTCCAGCTGAAGGTAATTCTTCCTTTTGAAAGTATTGGGCAACCTTTTAATTAGCTGAAAAGACTGTGTGATCTGTGGCCAAACATGGGTTTTAGATGGTTATCTAAGACGAAAGAGAAAAACAAAGATGTGAGATTGCACAGGATTATATTTGTGTGTTGTTGGTTTTGGCTGCTGAAAACACTTGAAAATGCAGGGGCACTATCATGAAAAACTAGTCTAAAATTATAACTGAGGATAGTTTAAAGGAAAAAGTCAGGATTAGAACTGGGATTAGGAATACCCAGTATTTACAAAAACGCATCTGAGTATAAACTTTTTTCTGACTCTCTGTCTTCTGGTCAAAAGTCACAGAATCACCAAGCATTTTATTACTGTGACTAAAGCTCTATTAAGAACCCGAGGGAGATCATCGGCCAGGTTGTCAGAAGTATGTGGCTGAGAAACGAGCACCATATTGCTGTTGGACGGCTCTCAATGCAGGAAGAGACAGGGTTTTGCTAGTGGTGCTAGTCTGGTGTCTAAGGAACAATTTTGAGAGCAGTTAGGCAGGCCCAATTCGAGTCCCCTACCTAGGGGAAGCCTACCTTCAGTTCATGTCACCAGTATCAGGAATTGGTAACTACAGATACTCTGGGGCACAGCAGAACCTGCTGGTTTGGGGAAAAATTAAAAAAGGAAGTAGCCTTACCCAGCAAATGAAAATAAGGAGATGTTTTATGGAATTGCTGCAGAAATAGGGAGCATCTATCCTGTATGAGGAAGAAGAAACAAGTGCTTCTGGGGTATATTCAGAAAAACAAGGATAAGGACTTGAAAAATAGTGCTAAAAATTGGAATAATCGAAAAGTCTGATTCTTCTGTTTTCCAGTTGATGAGAAGCGGAAATCTAAGACAACACCGGCAGTTCTTTTGGAAATAATCAAAGAAGAAGGCTTGTGAGTAGATACTAATTTTCTGCTTATCTTCATGTAGACAAGCTCTAAAACTAATTTCACTTTGCTTTTAAAGTGGATTAGTTAGCTCGTATCTGTGTGAACAGATTTTTGTTCTGAATTGAAATGTCTCCATGTAAGTGTGATATGACTTGCATAATCTTATGTGTTCATCTTTAGCTAATTAGGATTAACTTTCTTGAGCACCTTATGCAATTGATCTGTTCAGTGATGTAACTGTGCCTTCATTAGAGAGGTAGCTGTGCCTCCTCAGAAATGCAAAGGGACCTTCAGGTACCTGATCAACCAGCTCTGTCTGCCTGGATTCTTGGGTGTGTCAATTTCTCATAAGCAAGATGAAACTCCTGGGCAGCCGAGCCAGATTCAAAAGGAGAATTGAGACACGTTTCCCAGTTGGAAGGTTTTTTCCTGCTCCTAAACATGTAGAAGTAAATAACACATGACTCTGTGCTGGTGGGATTCAAGATCTGTCTAAAAGCAGTTAATTTTCGGCTGTGCTGCACTTTTGTATTTGCCACAGTCTAAGCTGAGCTGGCTGGGAAAAACTGTTGTATGCCTGTCCTTGTTAGAAGTATTTTCTTAAGGGAATCCCTGGAACTCCTAAGTAGACTAGAGCTTCTAGGACATTAAACTTGACAAAAGTTTAACTTGGCCCATAATGTTCTGCCACCTTTGAACTTGGGCAGTTGGCAGTTGTACGCATGAGGAGTTCTCTGCCAGTTGGTGATCCCTCTCGTTCACGTTCCTGTGTTGCTTTTGTCATGTGAGGGTGGCAAATAAACTTCAGTTAAAAAAAGGTGAAAGGAAAAAAGTTAAAAAGCAAAATTAAGAAGTTAACTGGGGTGGAGAGACTGCAAAAGTGGTCATCCTACTTTTCCTGTGAAACTGAAGAATCAGTAACTCTGGCAAGAGAAGAACATCGCTTCTTCCAAGGTATTGGGAAGGCCTGGCTAGGCAATGGTACTAATTTTAGAGATGTGTTTGGAGTAACAAAAACACACCAAACAACAGCAAAACTGAAATGTGATGTGAGATCATAAACGTATTGTTCACATTAGCTTTAGAGTCTTGTCTCATAATATACTTTTGTGAGCTGCTTGTTCTCATCTAGATAAAGCAAATAGGTTTAGCTAATGGACTTTCTGCAGAAGTTTATCAAGCAACTTTGCTTTCTTACTTGCACTTTGTCTTTTTCTGGGTGATTTGAAAGGTGTTTGTTAGTGTACACTGAGTTTTTCTCAAAGTTGCAGTTTGGAATGGAAACTTAGGGGTTTTTTATGTGCAGAATTATTTGTGTGTGAATTACAGATGCTACCACTGACAACTTAAGTCATTTAAATAAACTCATGGGTTTTGTTTTAGTTTCATGTTTTGTACTGCAAGATGTTTCATTTGATAATCATCAAAAATTGTTCTTAATAAATCAAGAAAAAACAAACTAACACGCTCAGTTAGAGGACATAGTCCCCACAGCAGATTTCTCTTTTTCTTTTCCAGCACAGAAGAGATAGGTAATATAAAAATTGTTTTAATATGACTTATGAATAACTGTATAGTCATTTAATTTGTAATTATAACTGTATGTTTAGCTAAGGCTGTAACTTCAGAAGCAGTCTTAATAATGTGGTGTATTCCCAGCTACATAGGAGGGATGGATTTGAGACAGAAAACTAGCATTTACATTCTAAAAGCAGTCAGATTTTTTTGTGTGTTTACCAGCCTTACATCTTTTACAGCCTCCTTGGAGATCCTTATATTCTATGTATTCCCAATATTTTAATGAATACTAAAGAGCCTCCATAATTACTGCTGTGGAGGAGATTTATTATGCTTTTAACATGATACCAGTTCTCTACCTGTTCTGTGCAACTCCAGTGAAGGTGTGTATCATTATCTTTTTTTGGATGTGTTGTAGAACATGCTGGGAATGTAGGGCAGCTGTTGAGGTATCCCTGTTTTACAGGCTCATCAGGCCTGTGAGAGAAGGGAGCTTTGTTAGTCAGCTGTTACGAAATCGTTCTTAAATCAAGACAGATTTAGATGATATTTGGTTTTTCATCTATGATTAATATAGTTAAAGTTAACTAGGTGATGTCTTTTTTTTCTCTGACCTGACTAATTTTCTCTAGAATTTACTGCCAGGCATCTGTTAGAAATTCCTCTTGCCTGCAGATCTCGTGCCCCAGGTCGTATCCTTTGCAAAACTCTTCTTGGTGAAGTATATTAACTTCAGTAACTAGTCTTCCATTTTTAAATTTTATGTGAGAATCTGGACTACTTTTTTCCTTAATTTAGTATGGTTTGTTAGCATTGATATAAAAACATCTATTTTGTACTTTATGTAACATACAGTGTTGTATCTCTGGGGTCCTCCACCAACATGTAAAATCAACCAGATCACATAAATACTTTGCTGATCCTTACTGTGTCTTTTTGCTTTCCATTAGGTTGGCACCATATCGAGGATGGTTCCCTGTTATCTCCAGCCTTTGCTGCTCCAATTTTGTTTATTTTTATACATTTAATAGTCTTAAAGCCCTCTGGGTCAAAGGTCAGCATTCAACCACTGGGAAAGACTTGGTTCTTGGAGTTGTTGCAGGTAATACTTAAAAATCTCCGTTTTGTCAAGAATGTGTTTTTTGGTATATTCTGTCTAATGTTTTTCTTTATGAAGTCTTCTGGAGGTCACACTGAGTGCTCAGACCTCCCAGTGTATGCAGACTTGCTTCTTTCTGATTGCTCCTTTATGTCCTTCCCACCTCGTAAGGAGATGCACAGAGCATTCCTGTTGTGAATTCTGGCACAAAGCACAATGCCGTTGTGGTCTGGTACAGTATTTGTGTCTGGCGTGGTGTTTGCCACGTATCTAAGCATCGTCACTAAGATGTTGAAGATAAGTGGCAGGGAGAGGTAATAGTTGCCTTTTATTTTTATTTAGAGAAAAAGAGATATGCAATTCTGAAATATTTTCAATTAGGTAAGGAATTTTCTTGTAAGCATTTGGGTGTCAGTTTTCAGACTTGTTTTTGGGTTATCACCTGAAAGTGGCAGGAAGTCCCTAGATACATGCAGGTCCAGTGGGACCATGTTCTTTTTTCATTCCATCCTCCTGTGTGGATGGTACAGTAGCTTCTTTGAAGGGATGATAACATTAAAGACCTTTCTAGCAAATCCAGCGTGAAAAATTACCGCTGTGTGCCTGTGTTTACCAGTAATATTCTTTAGGAACAATTGCTCATGCGACCACACAGAAACAAGCTGATTTAAAAAAAACCTGCAAAAAAGGTTTTTTAAGGTCTTGGATTTTTGATTTGGGTTTTTTGATTTTTTGGAAGGGGTGAATAGTTGGCAGTTTCTTGTTCTTTCAGTGTGGGCACAGTGACTGGCTAAATAGTTGACGGAAGTAAGTAAGGAAATTCTTAAGGTGGTTATATCACTGTGGTAAAATGCCATGTAATAACATTTTTGAACAAAGGCTACAGGAATTAGAGTGACAGCTTGTTAGTTAAATGTCTAGCTCTCCTTCAATGTCTGTAGTTTATATCCTTATAATGAAATCATATCTGGTGTAAATTTTAAATCTTCTGGTTCTTGCTGATTTTTCTTTGTGCTGTGTTTTGCATTAGGTGTAGTGAATGTACTCTTGACCACTCCTCTTTGGGTAGTGAACACACGTCTGAAGCTGCAGGGAGCAAAATTCAGAAATGAAGACATTGTACCAACTAATTATAGAGGCATAATAGGTAAGCACCCGTTGTTGTCTTCAACCAAAGAAAAGTTCATGAAATGAAATATATCAAGGACTTTGAAGACTTTTGTTCATATAACTGGTTTCACCCTGTAATAGCTATGCTTCTGTCACTTTGCAGTCATTGAGTTTTACGGGAAACTGGACTTTGCTATTTCTAACAGTAATTAAGACTTTGCAGTATGCACCCCTGTGACTAAAATGCCTTTTGTACGTTATAGAGATACTGGAGCAGTAGTGAGCCTTGTGAAGTGATAGCTGGGAGTCTGAGTTTGGGCAGACAATCTGCAAATTAAACTTCACTTACCTTAGTCTCTTAATCATCCACATGTTCAGGCTGCCTTCCTTTTAAAACCAACCAATCAAATAAATATTGTTGTAATTTTGAAGAAGGTTTAGAAGACTTTAATGTTGATGCCATGCTTGTACTAAAAAGAGCAGGGTGTCTCTGCAGATGATAAGCTTTGTTTATGTTGGTGGTGATGTGAGCAAGAACCTCCTTTGTCAGTACCTTTCTGTTAACTTCTAGATTAAAATGGAAGGTAAAAATAGTTGCATAGAAGTCTGATGTGAATTTTTATACACTTTGAGTATTAGGCTTTAAGTATAACTTCTCTTACCTTTTATGGTAAGTGTTTTGTACTCAGAATTTTAATGATCTTTTCCCCCCACCTTTTGTCTCAGATGCCTTCCATCAGATAATAAGAGATGAAGGAGTCTTAGCTTTGTGGAACGGTACTTTCCCCTCCTTGCTTCTGGTCTTCAATCCTGCCATACAGTTCATGTTTTATGAAGGCTTTAAACGAAAGCTTTTGAAAAAGCAGCTGCAAGTGAGTATGTTTTGAGGCCAGATGGTGAACATGCTCTGTTATAAGACAGGTTCTTTGATATGCACCACTTGAACAAATTCAGAAGTGTAGGTTTGGTTTTCATTCTTATATTTTGGAGGGATTTTTTGAGTTAGTGTATCTAAAAAGGATCTAGCATCATGAAATGAGGTGTCAATCTTTCATGTCCTTAGGAAAGATATTCCTGTGATGAATTCCTCTACCTGTAAAAATAGAACTGCACCTCTTGTCCGCATTTGTTTACATTTGTTCACAAGTCTAGATTTAAATTAGAGATTTCAATTCTAATATGTCTTTTATAAGTCTGCTTTTAACACTTTCTCCAGTAAATCAAGTATATAGAACCTTCAAAGTATCACAGGTTTTCTCTGGGCCCTGTCATTTTAATAACATTTTTTTCTTGAAGCCCTCAATTCTTCAGTGTAATTTTTCCACGGATGGACACTAGAATTGAACCATATTGCAACCATACCTTCCCGATTCTCTAAATAGAAGCATAATCACTTTTCTGTCCCTGATTTATAGTTCCATTCTTTTTTCTTATTCTGTTGTATTTCACTATATCAGATGTAGAATCTCAGCTGAAGTCATGTTTCTTTTATGTTCTGGCAAACTGAAAAGCATTTGCGTTACATTTTCAGATAATGTCATAACATAATATATGTTTAAGCTCTGGCTTTTTGCTGTTAATTTATGATTTTAGGATGCATTGTCTGATTTAAAATGTTAGGTCATATCAGTATGTTTCAAAGCTATCTTGTTTTTCCTCAAGACATAGTGAGATTATTTTTACATGAGATTTTTGCACTATCAATGAGGCTTCAGACTTTTACTGTCTTTAGTTAGTACTGCAGCTGTAGCACTCCATTTGTGCCTGATGGATCTACCCAGTTACATTATGGACAGTACATTTTTTGTGTGATGAGCTGAGCTTCCCTCTGCATTGCTGTTTGCCTCTTGGCTAATGACATATTTATTTATATATTTATTTCTTGTATTTCTTTTAAATTCCTTAGTTCCACCTTAAATTAGGGCATTTCTTTATCCATGATCAGTGGAGAGGGAAAATAATACTTTTTTTCCCTAGCAATGGTAATTTTTATTTTGGACAATATTTTTCTTCCTGTTTGGTCTTTTCCTGATTGTCTTAAATATATCAGATTGATCCTTTTAGGATGTGCATGTGTAAGCATTTTTGTGATTGCAATCAATATATTTTGGAAATTTCAAGCACGTTTTGATATGGGCACCTACTTATTTTCCTTGATTAATTCACACTGGTAGACTGAGATGCATTGTAATCAGTATAGGTTATAACAATATATTTGGTGCATCCTGGAACAGTGTGGGCTTTGGCAGTGAGGATGGGCTTCCAGCAGGTGTTCTTAAGTAATAGGGGATGAGATTTTTAGCCTATGTCATCAAGACTAAAATTATGCCTCAGGATTACAGGGTGATGTTCAAGGAGTCTTTCACTGTCACCTTTTCACAAGCACCGTGTGACTTGTTAGTTTTAGTTGCAAAACCTGAAATGCCTATTGATGATACGTTTAAAATTATACTTCCTTATCTTTTGTCTACTCTTGGTGATTTAAATTGGTCTAGTTGTATGGCCTTATATAAATGCAAAAGCAGGTAGAAGTGAAAAAATAAACTTTAGTTGTGGGCAAGTAAGTTGGTTGAACTGTGACTGACTCTTTAAATTGAGAAGATCTAGGGGTTTCATGAAATCTTCGTGCCAGAGATCCTTAGATAATCTGGTAGCTGGTACCTCTACTGAATCCCCAAACATATATGGGTAACTGGCTGTTTTGGTACAATGTGAAAATAAATATGTTCTTTATCTGTTGAACAGCTCACATCTTTGGATGCTTTTGTCATTGGTGCAATAGCCAAAGCAGTTGCCACGACCCTCACTTATCCTCTGCAGACAGTACAGTCAATTCTGAGGGTAAGTAATAATTTTGTTTCAGGGTGACTCTGCCTTTGACTTGTTCTGTATCATGCAAGCGTTATTCATATGGCTAGTTTTTATTTGAATTATTGCACCCATCATTCTGGGAGGTATTTTTGCACGGTGCAGGCCAGTGATTAGGATGTCTCTCCTCTTGGATTCTGATCGAACTTGATGTTAGTGGTGCACATTTGTTTCATGTAGCTGGTAGGATTGCCAGCGTGGTGCATCGGTACAGAAGCTGATGCACTATGCTGCTTTTACACACTACAAGAACGTACATTTACTTCTTTGAATATAAAAGGAAAATGCATCAAGTGAGAAGTTAAATTTAAATCTTCTAAACCCAATCTGTTTCCAGATGACCTAGAGTAATAAAAGAAACGTTCTGTTCATAGGCATTGTTGTTTGGATGATGATCTGACCTTGTCAGTATCCAGAATATGATTCATCAGGGGAAGCTGAGGTCCCTCATAAACATCTTTAACCACTTGCCTGGCTGTTTAGGCTAATTGTAGTGGTAATGGTAACACTTGCACTTTTTCTTACTTTCGGCTCGTATCTATGCTGGATAATGCTGCTCCTTTCAGGATGTACCAATATTGTTGGAATATTGACACAAGACAAAACTTGTTAGCAGGGAGGAAGGAGGAGACCTGGCCATGCATAAGCATATTGTACTTTAATTTCTGTGCTTTTAAATCTGTTTTTATAACAGTTAAATATTAATAAACTTTTCCACATGAAATATGATGCTATTTTCCTAAGTATGGAGAAGCCTTAAATTAATGGTAAAGTCATTATGTTCTAAAACTTGTCTAAATTCTGAGAATTAGTTGAATTATTGAAAACGAGCCTTCTGTGCTAAGGGTATCACTTTTCAGACTTCTCTAATATAGGAATTTTCTTGTTAATTGTACATCTGGAAGAATTAATTTTCAACTAATTTTCAAGCAATTTTTTAATTATTTGAGTTATTCTTCTCTCTAATTAGAATGAAATAAATGTATTTTGATTTTTCATAGCCTGTAAAAAGATACTTTGGGTGCTATATTTCAAAGCAACAGGACTTGAATACGTTTACTGTGTAATTTTGTCAGTTGCCATCTTTCCTGAAATTTTCATAATTTTCGATCAGCTGAGCTAGTGCTTTCATTCAATGTCTTATCCTTTTTTAACAGCCTGGACACTCCTCAGAAGCTAAACTAATAACAAGAATTCTATTATTGGAGTGACAGACACAAAAAATATTTAAGCAAATATAGCTCTGTTTGGATAAGTTGCAACATCAGTCTGTTTTTAATTTGTGATGCTTTTTCTGCTGGTGTGAAGGAGAACTGGAAGGAAAGTTGGAATGCTCTGTTTTAGCCTGAGCATTGCACGGCAGTGCAGGTTTCATGGGGCTACATCCCTATAAGAGCTTCAGCCCTTGTTCCTTTCCATGGTTGCTATAGAAGTGGCTACAGTCTTGTGGTTTCATGTTTCATCTGTCTCCTTTTAGCTTTTTGAATGAAATTCTTCTGTCTCATGATGACAGAAGAACAACAGCTTTGGTAAGTTGTGCTGCCAGCTTGGTGTACTGCCCAGCTGCAGCTTCCTGCTCACCTCAGCTGCAGTGAGCCAGTTCCCTGCTGGCTTCCCAAGCAGTGATGAGTTGCCTTTCTGTGGGAGCACAGCTAAGCCATCAGTGTCCTGGTGGGAGGGGGGATTTTTCTCACAGTGGCCCACTGTGAAATGAAGTGGCCTATATGATACTTCTCCATGCAGGACTGTCCTCTCCCTGTGATGGTGAGGAACACAAGCACCCTCTCTCTAGTTCTGCAGTCCCTAGGTGTGACTTCGGTCCCTTTGCTCTATGAAAGAATAGCCAGGAACCCTGAACACGTCTGCTGAGAACAGCAGAAATATGCATCTGTTGTACCTGAACTGTCCAGTTCAGACATGCTCTGCTTCATGATGCATTTCCTAATCTAAAGCTAGCATTGTTGTGTTTGAAGTTTTTGATACTCACACTAAGTGATGCTAAAGAAAAAGACTATGAATAAAGGTTTAGTATTTTCAGAAATAGCATTCTGCATGAAGTATGCTTTATATAGTTGTAGGGAGTTTTTTGAAACTATTTTAGCAGATTTACACAGAAGCTAATACAAGCTCAACTTAATTCATATAAACTTACACATCATAACGAAATTCTGTCATCAAAGTAGAAGTATAGGACTCTTTTTTTTTCCTTTTCAGCCTTTAACCTTTAGAAACCTACTTTTGTTTGAAAGTTATTAGGGTTCTTTGTAATGAAGGTTCTGCACCTTTGCTTTCAGCTGTTTGGCACAGCACTCTTCTTGATAAAATGAACAGTTATCCTGTGTAATTAATTGACAGTAGTAGCAGCTTCCAGCCTTGCTGTTTCATATGTCTATCTCCTTTTCAGGATGACACATGACATACATGATGCTGGTTTTACTCATTATGCAGTGAAACTGTTCTTTAGCCTATGTGTCAGTAAAAAGCAGATAAATTAAAATTGCCTCTGGAGATATAGCAACACTTAATATTCTTAGTGATCCTGGTTGAAGAACTTCTCTTTAAAGTCTCTTTTCTCTTTCACAGAGAATGCTAGTCCCTTTGGGAAATCTCCTGCAGTAACCACTGAACTGTTAACATCCTAGTGAGAAATTAATGTTTTTTTTTCTCTCTTGATGAATCTTTGTTTGCAGTACAAAAATTGTCCAGTGGTGGAGAAAAGAGGAGAATGAAGCACCTAATCATGGTATAGTTTGGAAGGCTATGAGTAATCTGGGCAGTGACTGACACTGTAACTTGGAACCTAGTTGGCAGTTTTTTGGGGGGGTGTCTGAGTCTTTGACAGTAATTCTTAATACTGATTAATCAATACCAAATGAGTTAGTTGCTGGTGAGAAGATTGTGGATTTTGAGCACATATTTTAGCTAATAAAGGGAGAGTTTCACTAGCATTCTCTTGCTGCTGTTTCCATCTGAGTTGTTGAGACACACGGTATCATCCTGGCATTTTCTTAAAGTTTCTGAACTGCCTAAATCAGCTTGCATACTTCACCTACTGTCAATGGTAATGTCTTATACCTAAGATGCAGCAGTTGTTTCAGCAAGTTCTGGGAAAAAATCATCCATTTGCAGTTGTTCAAGTTCACCTTTCTTAGCACAGAGGCTTTATACAGGCTTCAAAAGCTATGAGGCTGTGCTGTTATAAATACAAAAGTGTGCCACTCTTGTATATTAATAATTCATAGTTACAGCTTGCTGACAGTACTATTGACCTGGATCAGATGAGAGTATCAGTGAATGCTAGAAAAGGAGTTACTGAAGTTGCTAGTTTAGCTCTGAGACACAAAACTACAGCAGCAGCTGTTGTGCCTACTGAAAACCAGTTTGGGGATAGGCAAGTGCAGTGAGTAAAAAAGAAATATTATTTAGGCCAGGTAGGTGGATCAAACAATTTTGGATTCTTCCACAGCAGTCCACACATAAGTGTTTTGCTTCAAGACCATTGTTGGGCAGATAAATTTTGTGTTCAGCTGTGCAATCTCAATGTAGTAATGGTTTGCAGATGTGTGAGTGAATCTTTGTCAAGTGAAAGCTGAGCAAGCCAGAAGGAACTTGCTTTGAATGTCATATCCCTACGAAGACTCTGCAAATTATGCTTTTGAAATCTTGAAAACTCTTTCTTCCACAGCAACCAAAAGAGGAAATACGGCCATGTGTAACACTTTGGTAGAATCCATCTTAAAACCAAAACAAATTATTGTAGCCTATACAGTTTTAATGCTTGCTTTGTGAGCTTTGGCCTCAGTTAGTTCCAAGCTGATGGCCATATGACATGGAAAATGTTTAAAGAAGTTTAAGATAGGCTCTCCAGATTTCGTGTATGTGTGGCATTCTCTGCCAGGCACTGTGGGGAAATAGTACAAGAAAATGCTCTTTGTTTTTTTTTCAGTTTGGACGCCACAGGTTGAACCCAGAGAACCGAACACTAGGCAGTCTTAGAAATGTTCTTTACCTTCTTCAACAGAGAGTGAGGTGAGCTTTCCCATTTTTTTTTCTCCTACCATGATATAGAAGACTTAGGCATTACTAATATGGTGAAAATGTTGCTGGATCTGAATTTTGTTTCTTTGCCTCCCTTAAACTTACCATTTCAGTCAACCTGGTTTTTGTAATATCTTGCAGAATAAGTCCACAAACCCAAATTCTCCTAAATATCTGTATAGTAAGTGGCATTAAGGATACATATGGATACCAATTCATTCCAACTCTCATCTTGAAAAGCAGGTTTCTTGCACAAAAGACCTTTAATTTCTGCAGAATTTTCTCTTTAAAATATTATTAAAGGTAGCTGGCACTGGAGATCAAGAATGGGTTTAAGATTCCTACGGTTATCTTTTACTTGTGATATTAATTCTTCATTGTAGTGTACTGATTTACTTATAGAAAGCTATTCACACTTGTTTTCTTGTTTGGTTTTTTTTCTCCTCCTTAGGCGTTTTGGATTAGTGGGACTCTACAAAGGCCTTGAAGCAAAGCTCCTGCAGACAGTCCTTACTGCTGCTCTTATGTTTCTGGTATATGAGAAACTGACTGCTGCAACCTTCACAGTCATGGGATTAAAGCACTCACGCAAACATTGATAAAGGAACCTATGCCAAAGATTATGGGGTCTAGAAAACACATTCTGTTTTTGAGACCAGGCTGGGTAACAAAGGGTCCTCACTTCCTCTACTTCTTTTTTTAGCCACCTCTGTCTCCAGTATTTGGAGAATCTGGAATATGCTCTATAGGACCTGTTGCCACAAATTCAGGGGTAGTCCATTCCCTATTGTTCTGTGGACTCACTGCTTTAAGAAACAAAGACACCTTATTTAAGCACTTGACATAAAATTTTAATGATTATATGATTTGGTTGACATTCTTGGTGAGAATTAATCTCTGTCACTATGCTTTCTTGTTTTCCCTCAAATAGTCCTCAGTTATTCCTGTATCTTTACCTTCTGTCAGCATCTGGTGGGGCTGGTTTTGTTTTATCTTCCTTGGGTGCCTCAGACACCCCCCCCCAAACAATTGTGTTATTTTCCTTGACCTGTGTTTGTCACTTCATATTTGGTTTATTAAAATAATTCATAAAGATTAAGATTTTTGGCATAGTTTTCTTTTACTTTCAAGTATGTTTGTGGCACAGGATGTGATATTGCCCCAAGTACCTGGTGGTGAGGTCTCTGAACTGCTAGAATGTACATTACGAGCAAGTGGACATTCTGTCTTCTTGAATCCACCTGTTTTGAATCTTGAAAATTTTGAATGCAGATACTGGTTACATAGAAGGAACACAACCTGTTGCTTCTTCAAGCTGCCTCAAGAAAATGGACTTGCTACTCAGAAATACACGAAGTTTTGTAACCCCATTCCTTGTGAGAATATGTGAATTCACACATTCTCATGCAGACAGGGGGCACTGCCCTATGCTTCAGAACTGCTATGCCATCTCAAAAATGTGCTTTAATTATTTTTCCACTGATCTTCCCAGACTATAAAGCATAAAGGTCATAACTGTTGTCCCAGTTAATGTATATGTGTATGTTCTTTTTGCATAGTTTTGGTCAGTACTCCTCGACCATAAAATCCACATTAAATCCTGCTGTGTTCTGAAGAGCAGTTTTCTATTTGAAGTATTGAAAAATGTCATGGCAGTTTAGCACCAAGAATGTATGGGAAAAGACTTAAATGCTGCAAGAAATACATTACCGAATTACAAAATGGCACATTTTTTTGGAGTCTTAATTGTAAGTATGAAATTGGAAAGCAATTCTGCAGATGTTGTCTTTTGAATAAGAGTAAAGGCCAATTGCTTCTTTTAAGAATATTCAGAGTACCTATACAAGAAAAATCCAGTTCAACACTGGATGATTTTCAGTCCAAGTAGGATTTACATATGACAAGTAAGAATGAAAAAGTGCAATGAGCTGTAATTATACTTTGTTAAAGGATGAAACCTAATGAAAGACTGGAGACCTCACCCCTGGAAAAGAATGAATCACAGTTCTGAAAATTTCCATGAAAATACTCTGACTGAAACAAGGTGCCCTGTGGAAAGGTAGTCTGCTGTCTTTTTGGTGTTTTTAGTAAGAAATTTGAAATCGGTAGTATGGCTCTTGAAAAGCTACCTCACATCAAAAGTCCTGGTGTCAGAATTGTTGTGGGGTAGCAAAGTGGTTCTCATGCTACTCTGGCTGAAATCTATGTGGCTTCTGGGAGCTGTAGTTTAGCAGCTCAGGTTGCTGTGCTCTGTGGCACGAAGGAGCAATTCCTACAGAAATATTTTTTTGGTTGCTATACCTATAAGCAGAAAGTAAATGCTTGCTAGCATTTACTAGCCAAAAAATACTTGTCTGTCTGCAGCGTGGACTCAAAGGGATAAAAAGTATCTCATTTTTGCAAAAAAGCTGAATACAGAAGCCCCATGTAGAGGAGTGCTGGCCTTGGCTGTGTCTGCGTTACTATCAAGTCTGGAAGGAACAGACATTTTGCACTTAACTCTCTACTTGGCTCTGCTGACCAATTATAATGAAACAGTTTCATAAAGGAATGAAAGCAAAAGCTACTAAAGCCGGGAGCACCTTCGATCTCCTTTTAGTGGTAGACATGTGGCATTTGAAACTTTTTTTTGCTTCTCCATTCTCCAGTATTGATTTAGGTATTAGTCTGAAATAACTGAAAGACTACTTAACCTTGTGTGACTGAGCCAAACTGCAGATGGTTGAGGAATTGTTCAGTCATTCGTTCAATCAGCAGGCAAATGTTCATGTTACAGCTGGTACCTCTGCCTTAGTTTTCTCAGGCGTAGTTTGAACAGATGATGACATTTATCTTGGAATGCATAGAATTATTTCTGGCTTCGAAGGTGTAGGTGAGTATCTTTGAGAAAGCATAAATTATCAAAGTAAACTGTGAAAGACTATTTCTAATCTTTGTACTGAAGTTGTAAGTCACCCTTGGTGAATACTGTCCAGAAATAAAGCCGAAATACAATCATTTTACTCTATTTTAAAATATATTTATATAAATTGTTGTTTGCTGATGTCCCCCCTCACAAGCAAACATATAACTTCGGGGGGTAGTGTAAAGACATGATTCAGCTAAGCTCTTGTAGTCATTTCACTGGAAAAAATTAGTTGTAGGAGAACTAATGACAGAGTTCCACGTCAAACATCACAAAATATGCAAGTTTTCCTTTGGACAAAAATGAGTCCTGGCAGACAGCGTTGTGTCAGTTCAAGCTGAAAATAGACATGGAAACAGAGTATGAGGTGCTGTGGCAGCAGCAGCTCTATGCACAAGTACCTGCAGTGGCAGCCTCAGTTGCCAGTGCACAATACTTCTGCTGTGCACTCAGTACGTAACTGTGTGTTCCATTCAAAAAATTGTGTCAATTCACTTCTGGAGAACCTAACAAAAAATATTTTCATCCTCAGGTGAAAAATAGACCTTCTCCCTAATTTTTTAATACTGTTTTTGAGGGAAGAGAGAAAGGAAAGATGATTATCAAGGACAGCAGCAGAGAGGATCGTCTGTCTTAGCCAAGTTCCGTCATGGATAATTCTGACCTTGGCTTAATTTAGGAGATTTAAATTTAATCCTATGCTGTTCTTTCTCTTCCCCACCTCACACTTAGACCGAAGGTAGGAAATCCCTGTGGCATCTTAGAGATTTCGAAGCAAGTGGCATCTCAGGTATCTGTGATGTTTGGAATGAATTCTGCTCCTATTTGTATTCCAAACCATGTTTCTCATGATTATAGATTGTTTGCCTCTATAGTAGGACAGTATTTAAACACATTTTAACTTATTCAATGTTATTTGCATATATATATATGTATATATATCTAATATTGTATAACAGAAATGTTATTCACTAAGCCTCAGTTAGGAGGATGACAGCTGATAGAATATATTCTTTTTGTCTTATGTAATGTTGTTGAATTGCTGAGTGTTGCTAAATAACAGTGTCTGCTGCTGGAGCAGGCTGTACTTAGCTGGAAGCGTCTCCCCATCAAATGATTTTCCTTTTCTGGCTGCACTGGAGAATGTTATTAAAACCTGAAAGCTGGTGCATACCCTATGTGGGAGGAAAAACTAAGATTTACCTCCAGTCTGTCCAAAAGGAATAGAGTGTGCTGCAGTGCTGCACTGCAAAGCTTCTTGTCCAGATTAATCCTTTCGTTACATGTCTTACTGCTTATCTGCTGAGGAAGGAAGAGGGGAGTACTGACCCTGGGCCTTGCTGGAGTTTTGTAGTAAAGGCAGGTAAACACAGTCCATTCAGAGGAAAAAAACAGGTGAGCTTTCAAGATTGAGATATTCCTGCACAGTGCTCCGTTGAAAAAGGTATTCATTGCCATCAATGGAATTATTGTTTCACCACGTGTCAAAAACATTTCTCAACTGATGAGTGTGTTGCAGGAGAGCGCAGGGCCATGGGAGAGAGGGAGCTGTTTGAGAGGCCTGCAGTGCTTCAGGGCTTATGCCCATTGTTGCATTTTATGTCTTTTTTTTTTTCTTTTTAGTCAGTATGACTTTGAAAGCAAAGAGTTAGATGAGGAAGATGGATATCTAAACCAGGTGTTTTTATATAATTGTTTAATCACCTAATCTATAAGGCTGAATTCTGCATCTGCAAAGGCTGCTTCATCAGCATTATAAAACTCTCTCTGCCTCTTGCAGTTGCTGTCTCTCACAACAGAAACAGAGGGGTTTTAAGGCACAGTCTGATGGCGTGTGTGGGCTGCCGAGTCCTCTTCAAAGCAAGTTTTTGTAGTATGGAGAGGGTCCATGTCTTGCACGAATAAAGCTGTGCATGACTATGTGATCTGTAGGGGGCTGTTGGTGCTGACCCAGTGTAAAACATTACTAGTGTGAGACATCATATATAATTTATATAATATTTATAGCTTACAGGTTTTCATAGCAGTAGATAAAATAGGATAGTTTTAGGATTCAATGAACAACAGCAAAAGAGCTCATTTTGAACTGGCAATAAACTGCCTTCTACAGAATTATTTTAACTTCTGTATTCTTCTTTGGTTTGTGCTTGAAAGAATGGACTCCAGAACTTTCTGGAAAATAATAACTAAAATGAGATCTATTCACCTCTCTGTTTGGCAGATAACATTTTTCTCTGCTGTTCGTAGCAATGTAGTGAATGTGTCAAAGCAGCCTGGAGGACAGCACTGTCACTTCAAGGTAAGGGGCAGAAGCTTGCGAAGAGATGGATTTTATTTCCCTCTACAGCTGGGGAGGTACCAGTGCAGTTACTGCAGCTGGAGGAGAGAGAAGAGCAGCAATTTGGTGGTGGTCTAGTTCAGAAAGCCCAGCAAGACAAGAGTCTGCCCCCATGGCTTGCAGTGATGGAGATGTACAAGTGATAACAAGGCCAAAATCTGTGAGAAGTTCCCAGACATCCATCTCCAACATGTGAAGAGATCCTGACATAGAACTTGCATGGTGGGGCCTGACTCGCTGAGGTGCTATTGCAGCACCAATGAGCTACATGGGTCACGTCATCCTCTCAGCTGTACCAGCACTGAGTCTTCATTTTTACAACCCCTGATGGAAAAATTGGATGTATATTCTTTTGGAGCTGGAATGGTCTGGATAGAGGTTTTTTTTCTTGCTGAATACCCCGTTACTCAGCACTTTTAATTTGCTGTGAGCATTGTAAGAGAGTTGGAAAGGACTTAAAAGACACACGGTTATTGGTCACACTGGGAGCAGCACCTCAGAAAAGCAGATTTTAACCACAGGGAAATCCTCTTCACAGTGTTGTATTTGTAGCTTTAATGCCAAACACCAGATTGATACACATGTGCTGGGCGCAGGGATATCTGTGCAGAAGAGGCCTGGGATTAAACACCACCAGCTCGGTGCGGTGGTATCAGCCCCAGTTTATCCATAGGAAAACATTTTTCTGACTTCAGCCAGTGCTCAGCTCACACTGGGAGAATTGCAATTGTTAGTGCTTGTTATCCAGCTGTCGTCACAGGGCACGTTGGTCTTATTCTTAGTAACAGCTAATCTCTTCTGTACGCTTACATCCAGATATGGAGCATGAGGTTGGGGGTTTTTTTCCCAATAGGATTTATTTGGAATTAGAGACAAATGCCAACCAGGCTTTGGCAGGCTTCACTGTGGCTTCCTTACTGAAAATTGTCACTTTATAATTCTTGGCCTGGCCTTTCTGATCTTCATCTGTGATGGACAGATTTCAGCATGTCTGGGTGGATTAAAAACATGATAGGACCTCCCTTTAGATGTTCTGTTAGCTGAGTGATGGTACATCAAGGCCCGGAGATGCTGTTTTGAACAAAAAAAAAATCTCCTTTGTCCTGTTGTTTTGGGAAGTTGATTGTTCTTTTAATGTCCTTGAGGAGCCGTGGTGACTTGCTGATGTGAAGGTTTTATGAAGCGCTGCCTTTCATGAATGCTGATGTGAGAAAACTAATTTGATGGATTTTTCTCATAATCTTTCCTCGTGCACATGTCCACACAGTCCCAAGCCTTGGAACCACCCTTTGCATACAAAACAAATGTCTTAATTTCTTTTGAATTGTTTCTCCTAGGCTTGCCTTGTGGCCGTGAATCAAGAATACTTTGACACCACAGTTTTCTAGTTTTGAGATTTTCAGGATTACAGCAGGCAACATATGAGGGTTTTGTATTTTTTTCACACAACAGCCTTTTCTTGTACTCTGTCATGTCTTAAAAGATGCAAGTTGGAGATTTCATATGATGCTTTCAAAACTCTGAGAGTATTTATCAAGAATAAACAGAATGTTGCAAGAAAACAGAAATATTGTGTTTAGTGGATATATTTCATCTTTAGAGGATAAAGTGAGGAAAATTTCTCTTTTTCTCATAAGCAGGGAAAAAGACAAAGAAACAGAGAAAGAATAAGAATTATTTCCTTGTTGCTTTTCTCTGGAGCAAATAAATGTAAGTTTTATCTAAAGCTGAAGCAGAATTTGTAATGGAGTGGCATATTGACCTCACCTTTGAGAATGTGTATTTTGTTTGACTAACCTTTTAGAAATGAAAACCGACTTTGGATGCCTTGTAGCTTCTGTCTGCAAGATGTTAACTGCTCCTGTAGCATGCCACAAGCTTTCATATTATTGCAAACTATAAACATACGCATATTCATATACATAAAAACTATATTAATTTGTGAAACTTGGCTCATTTAAGCTCAGCAACTCGATCTCATACCCTTTCTCCTTTAGGAGTCTCTTTTATTCCTGCTGAGTTAGAAAGGGCTCAATTCAGGAAGCCAGAGGGCAGTGCCGGTATTATTTGTATTTTTGGAGTATTCTGTTTTCGTTGGGGTTTGGTGTGTGTCCAGCAGAGGAAGGAGGCTAGACGCCAGGAGGTGGCAGCCAAGCCCTGCTGCCCTGCCCTACTCTCTCTCGCTTCCAACAACTGAAGCAGAGGGACTTTTCTGTGAGCCAAAAGAAATCAAATTACAGTCTGAAGATTTGAAACCTTAGCCTGGAGGGAGGGCACACCAGAAGGTGGAAATGAGGATAGGGCTGATGCTATTCTGCATAGAAAGGCTGGATCCCCTTGCCGGGTGTGGGGGTGCTTGCCTTTGTACTCTGCTGTGCATCCAACACTGCTTGTACACATTGGTGGGGTAAATTTTTTTCCTTGATGTCATTTTATCATTGTGGTGAATTAAAACCCTAGGTGAACCTCAGGCCTTTGTTTTAATACAGGCAAAATTTTTGTTTGTTGCCATGTCAAAATGTTAATGAATTGAATGTGCTACCTCTTGCCTTGAATGCTGCTGGGGAATAAAAGTTCACTAGTTGGGAAAATACATGTTGAATCAAGTGAGAGTTAGTTTGGTGGGAAGAAAAAGAAATAGTCAAGTGGTATGTTTCAGTGCAAGATATTTCAGAGGGGAGAGTGGAATCCATGAAGTTACATGGAATGGAAAAATTAAGTTGCAAGAAGGAAGAATTTGTACTGTGATTGTGGCAAAAGGTTGTCTGAATTCAGGCCATCCCTGGAATGTGGTAGGATGATATTTTCACGTTGCTGCCACCAACACAAAACCTGCCAGTGTCATGTTTATTTCACAGATTTGACATGATTTTGTGAGGCAGAGTGAATTACTTGGGCTGGCAAAAGTAGATATTGTTGCTGTGTGATTGTTTGCATTTTGGACAGTTTTGTTACTAGCTCTTGGCTTAAAGATGTCACCAAATAATTTCATGGTGCAGCCAACATCTGTGATTTCAGTCTCTGGTTTATGCAATTTGAGTCCCTGACGATGACCTGAGCCTTGAGCCATCCTTCCTCTGCCCAGCTAAAACTACACCACAGCTCTCATCGTGCCTAGAAATAATCTTTTTTTTTTTTTTCTTGTGAGGAGTTTGCTTTCTAGTTGCATTAGAAGGTCAGAGGTGAATGAGAGAATGTGGCCTCACACCTGTGGAAAACGCTTTTTCGGTTGTAAAAGCCTGTATGGTTTGTGGTGACAGAACTTCCTTCATTTGAGGTGACAAAGGAAGACTTCAAAGCATTGTATAAGGAAAACTGACTCTTCGCAACAAGAACTGTCCCAGGCAGCCACCTCTCCAGTTGCTTTCCAGAAGCTAGTGGGATTCAGGTTAGTTTCCACACAGCCATTATCTAGTATTGTATACACTGCAAGAAATGGGGAGGAAAAGTCGAAAGTCACCTGTTAAATGGACAGCACAATGACCTTGAACTCCTTTATTCTGTCCTGACAAGTCTTAATGTTCTGTCTTTTTCTGTTGGTGGAAAGAGGTGTGTGGCTCTGGAAGGCAAAGGAAGGGAAAAATGATGTAGCCATGGAAGGACATGCTTGTCAAAAGGCTCCCTGCAGCACTGCTCTACAAACATAATTAGCATTAAAACAGCACTAATAAATCTTGACTGTCCTTCCTAACTGCTGGAGCAGCTAATATGATGTATGATATGATGCCTGAGCACGAAGCTCGGCTTTCTGATGCCACACAAAAAGACATCTGACTGCCCTTGTCAGGGGATGGCACCAGCAAAGCCGCAGCAGAGCCTCCCCAAACTGCTCAGCCAGCTGTCCTCAGGAGCAGGAGTGACAGCTATGGCCAGAGCAAGTTCTACCTGGGGCATCCTCCTGGTCCCTCTCCTTCCCAGACATCTTTCAGACACAGGCCAGATGAATTTCTCTCTACAGCTGCAAGCCCTCTTTGCTGAGGGACTCCAGAGCCCCTTGACCACTCTATAAGCAGAAGTGAAGCTGACGCCTGTGGTGTGAGGATGATGAGTCCCATCAAAAACTCGTGCCTTTGTGCAAGCTGGGCCATGTGGTGGACCAAGTGGGTGCAGGCATTGTCCAAAATCTGTCTGGCTCTACTATATGTTACAAAATTGAGCACAGGGCATACAGTGCAGTTCACTGCATGTGAAGAGACAATGGGTCTGGGGGCTACGGTGGAGTCTGCAATCCTCCAGCTGTCTTAGTGCAGTTCAGATCATGTTGTAAACCTTTTCCAGGTGTCTCGTGCTGAGTAGAAAAGGGAACATATGTTTGATTTTACAGCGAATTCTGGTCCTTCTCTCTGTCTCGTGATCTGTAAAATGGGGATAACATCTGACCCCACCTCTTCCCGAGAGGAGAGACCTTATGAAAGTAATTTCCTTGTTCAGTGCTTTGGGGTCAATGCAAATGTCATGTGACTGTGACCTGTTTTTAAGCTGGAAGAGTAAGCTGGCCTAATGCTGACTTTTGGAGTGATCACTGCTGACACAGCAACATCAGCTGGCAGAGATGTGGCCAAATCAAGTTCAGGGCAGGTTATGAGGCAAACGAGGTCTCTCTCTGAGAGTTTACAGAGCAGGTTTGTTTCATCACCCTGTGTATGCTGCTGGTACTACTGATAATACTATTACCTGAAAGGAAGTTATTATTATTAAAGGAATAATTATTAATAATAATTATTTTAATCTGAACACAAAAAAAAGTTCTGAAACTCTTGAATACAGGTGGGGGTCAGCCTCTTTTCCCTGGTAACAAGTGACAAGAGGAAAGGACCTCAAGTTGCACCAAGGCATGTTTAGATTGGATATAGGAAAGGATGATCAAGCATTGTAACAGGCTTCCATGGGAAGTGGTGAAATCACCATCTCTGGAAGTGTTCAAAAGCCACGTAGATGTGTTACTTAGGGACATGGTTTAATGGTGGCCTTCACAGTGCTGGGTTAATGGTTGAACTCAATGATCTAAAAGGTTTTTCCAACCTAAATGATTCTATGATGAGATGAAGCAGGGATTACAGCTTGATTACACTTAAAATGTGTTGCTGCAATCTAGATGCAGCTGCATAATGTCCCCTCGTCCACTGAGCACATAGTGAGAGATGTAAACCCAACACATCTATTTCTTCTAAACGCAGGCAGAGGTGCTTAGAAAAACCCAGTCTTACAACCAGGAGAGGCTTTGAATAACCCAGGATGGAAGTTTAACATCTTTCTTCTCTTAGCCACAATGCAATTTGTGCTGGGGAAGTGCACTGCGACCTCTCACCTGGTGGGAGACCTTTTAGGAGATCTCCTGAACTTCAACAACTCTGTCCAGGAATTCCCCCTGACTTTGCTTTGATGAGCCAGCTTGAGTTGTTTGATGCAATCAGCTGTTTCTGGACAGGAAGCTACACTGTACCAGCACCATCACTACTGATAATGATTTATTCCTGCCTTATCTTGCAAAGATTCTGGTAAGGGAAACCCAAAAGAGGAGGAACTATGAAAGCTGCCTTCATTCCGGTCTCCTACTGTCCTTTGTGTGGTGCTGCATCTTATGGTGAGTTTGTATTTTCCATCTGTTGTTGTGGTGATCACTACTATGGAATATAGGTTAAAAATTTAAGAAATGCGAGTATGGTTTGAACTCACAGTTGTTTTCAGTAGAGGAATCCTGGGAAGGTAAGTTTGGCATGCTAATCATGCAGAAGACATCAGAAATCTTCCTACTAGCTTTTTTACTGAGAGAATGATCTGGCAGGAATGAGAACAGTCTCTATCAAACCATTATTTTATATTTCTGCTATCTAGTGTCGATCATTTCAAAAGATGCAAACAGAAAAGGAAGGAGAGGCCTCCTTTCCCCCTTTCTACCTTCCCTATACAAACTCCTTCTTGTTGTGGTAATACATGGGAACCTTATGCTTTAAATACTTTTCAATGGAAAGCAAGTGTGAAGTTCCTGGTTTAGTTTTCCATGTGTCACTTTGCTAGGATTGATACTAAGTGGAAAAAGGGAGAAAATACACATAGTGGTAAAACAGTGTCATTCTCAATGGCTGGAGTTTTTTGTGCAAAATAGGGGCATAATTTTTCTCTCTGCTTCTCAGTCATAGGATGCGAGGTTGGGGTGAGGGAGAGTCAACTGGCTGAACTAATTCTCCTCAGAAGAGAATTAGTAATTTTTTCAGAAAATGAGTATTTTTTTCCTTTGTCCTTTTTCACAGTAGATTCAGATAAAGAAAAAAAAGGTTTGGGAGCTAAAATACTTAGGCATTTTTTTGTGGTTGTCCTTATCTGGACTATCACAACACTCAAGGGAGCTGCAGCATTGTAGATAGATCTTTCATAAGCCAAGTGGGATGGATGAAAGGCCAGAAGTACTCAGCAGTGGAGTGTTCCCTGCTGCTTTGCCCAAGGTGAGAGCATACAGTCCAGGATAGCAAAGGAAAGACCCCACCACAAGCAGCCAGAGAAGTTCAGCGAGTTCAGGCTGCTTCTGCGCACTCACGCAAGCAGCTGATGGACAGTTTTCATCTGCCAC